ATTTACAATTGAGTTTCATAACTAAAACCATTGCGCACCCAATGTATATAATGGTGCGGAATAGTTGATTAAAAATTATAATTAGTAAACAGTACATTCAGTGAATAAAATAAATAAAAGATAGCCTTTTATCAATCAATGCTAATTATAATATTCTAACAATAATGTACTCTTACACGTCTGCATAATTTGCATTCACATTTTGCTAATTATATTATTCCAACAATTATTCCGTCTTGCAGTTTTTGCATTCACATTTTTAGCGTGAGTTCAATTACCTCCATTGGCAAAATTACTAAGCAGTTTAATTAGATTTTTCTACCGTACTGTTATTATGTTATTAATATGTATCCACTTTTTCTGGGAATATTAACGAAAACGATACTTGACATTGATCCTTTTAATATGTTTTAGCAATGTGCGTCTATTTAATATTCTCTTTACGTTATGCAAAATTGTACAAACAGTGGAAATTATAAAATAGCTCTATGCCGTTATATAAACAAACCCAACTCTTCTACTTATAATAAGACACTGCGGTGCACTGAAAGCACAACATGGTGCGTAGTTTACTTTTATAGTCCCAAAATCTATAGCGATGACGGACAGACACAGCCTGCTTATATTATAGATAATGAGATGATCTTCAATGTATATGTGATGATATGTTATCCTATGAGGTTTGTTTTCTTAGCGTAAGGAACCCAGTAGATTAGGATAATGTTGGTTAATGATAATTTGGTGTCGTCACCCGGCCAGCAGGGGTATAGTTAGTTGGTCGGTTGCTCCATCGGTAGTTAGTTGATTTCAAGACTGATGATGCAGTCAGATTTTTTTTTGTGGGTAGCTCGAGGATGTACCGAGTACCTGGACATGGATTTAAGGGTTCTAGGGAAAATATTCCTCTATGTGATATCTTATTTGGTTACTGAAGATGTTAAGAATTATTATTGGTACATGTCATTGTAACAGGAGATGAATATATGCAGGTGATAAAGTGATTTATGAAATTTGATGTGGTTACTTAATTACTTAGCACTAAATTAACACGTGAAATGTGATTTATTGTATAAATAATGTATCGTAATTAACAGAAGAGGTACTACATTAGATTAAGTCTAATACATTAGGTTAGAGAGACTATGTTAGATAATGATAACCGAGTAGTAGCGACATGTTGTTTTCCGTTAGAAATAATTTCTTTTCAGTACAACTGAGGTGATGTTTGGGTTGACATTAAATGGAATCCTGGCCTTTACGTGAAGTGTGATTGTAGGATGTGTATCCAACTGGTGATCTGAGATGTATACTTTGCAGAATCGTCAAAATATGTTTGTGCGCGCGGAGACATGAACTGAACTGGAACTTCAAGAATTAGTTAAAATTGTCTAGTCTTTAAGGTCTATGTGTGAATGCTACCATAGTTGCCATTGTTAGGTAAAACAGAATGTTGTATTATTGAATTAATAAATAAAGCTAATGTGATTAGCTTAAAGGGAGAGGGGGGTAATGTTATGATGCATGTTTGACTAGGGCAATGGGTGCGCATGATTGATGGTGCGGCCGTATATTGAACGAGTGAGTGTGTGACGCTGTACGCAAGAAAGTGACGTTTTAGTGTGAGTTCCGTTGTTGCCGGAGAAGAAGATTGAAGTTAGTCTTGTCCGTGTTATGTTAGAGTTAGGTTGTCTAGTTGTAGTATCGGTTGTCCAAGCTGTCCGATATTCATTTCTTATTGTGCAATAAATTGAGTTAGTAACCGATGTCATTCTGTCAAATCATTCGTAAGCGTTGATGTCGTCGTGTCTCAAGATATACTATAACATGGCTAAACATAATCAAATGGTAGTGATATGGAAAGATGGTATTGGATCAGGTAGTTGTACCCTCTCACTGCATAGCTGTGGTACACATATAGAACACAGCAGTTATAACAGGTAGAGAATTAGTTCTTTTACTTACATGTGAAATTTTATTTATCTATCTAAAATAGTACTCAAGTTATAGGCTTTTGAAAAATTCAAAGTAAAAAAGAACCACTTCCGGGTATCGGAAATTGCTCAAACGTTTATACGCTTTTGATAAAATACTTATATATGAAATTTCATCAACCTAGCTGTAACGGTACTCAAGCTATCGTGTTTACAGACACATAGACACACACATACACACAGACATACGGACCAGATTGCAAAATTATGTTTTTCCGTATCAGTAAGGTGTAAAACGTCGAGATTTCCAAAAAACTCGATTTTTTTTTGCACGATTACAAGACTTTTTCTATACTTCGTAAATACGAGAAAGTAAAAAAAAAACGTGTTTATATATGATTTGCACAACAAAATGTCAGCGTAACTAAATGACTTATATCCCCAAGCATTGTATTATAGAACGTTTAAAAACATACTGCTGTATTCAAAACCTGGAGTCTATAGACCACTTGTCTCTACAAATACACGCAAGTTAATTGAGTGTCGTAGTCTCTTGTGAACATGTGTAGTCGACTGTGTCGGGGTTTTCCTTCTGCCCTAGACCCATCATCTAATATGGTGTGTTGTTATTTTCATTAGTTTAAGAACTTAAATTATACAAACGTATTTATTGATAAAGTAGAATATTACGTTTATTGTTTTAAACGAGGAGGGGGGTGGGTGATTTGTTGGATTACTGTATTTATTTTTTAACATTAATGTATATATTCTTTCGTATTTAGCTATATTCAAATTATCTTCTCTGTAGTGTGTAAAATGTGTAGGCATTTATTTAGAACGAGTTACGAAAAAAGGAAAGTATAATAAATATAATAACCTTTATAATAACAGATAACAAGCTTTTAAATGCACTGAAAATAAGAAACTTAACACACATATATTTCAATAAAAGCTTTGGTCAACTATGATATTCCTTACATTGTTTAGCGTTTTAAGCGTTTTTTTCCAAACCTAGTCTGAACGCGACCCTAAATCAACCAACCGTTGCAACTGACCCAGTACACGTCTATCTAATACAAGGACGACAGCTAAAGTCACGAACAGCTTTTAATAAGTTTAAGCCAGATGCAACCGTTTCACCCAGCAACCTAACCGATACTCCTCTCCTCCATGCTTTAGTACAGTTGTCAAATAGGTCAATGTACGCCTGTATGCAGTCAACGTCACTGGGATAAAACATGTATGTATCTTACATCTAAATCTTCATTCATAAAAAGTATTATATGTAAGTAGTCTCCATTTGACTCACGATTACAAGAAATGTGTACTAAATAAACACAACTGAACATAATTAAAATGCTAGTATGTAGAAATGTATGTTGAATAAATCATGTTTTTATTTGTAGCAATCCTCCCCCTACTGTTTTATAAGGAATATACTAGTACGTGTATAGGAGATCACTTCCGCGTAATTTGACTGCACTTTGTTTTGGTTTGCACATTTACTTATCTGTTCAATAATTGCTCCAAACGTAGTTTTTTTAAGTTCACTTACTAAACACAATTTGGTATAGTTTATTTACAGTTGACCCACTTAATAGCGCCACCCCATGTACAGGCTAGAGTGTAACGTAGTTTTAATGGTTTAAGTACCGCCCCCTCTCCGTTATTGTTCTTAACATGAGAATTGGGGAAATAGGGTCAAGGTGAAACTAGGCAAAGTGGAGTAAAACAATTGTTTTGTTAACGAGCACACGGTTGTGTTTTTAGTTCTTGTAGATTGTTGTCATATGTTAAAGATACATGAAGCGTCTGACACTGAATATGACTTCGCGGTACTTGTAATATATCGAGTCACCAACACATCATGTACACTATCACGAGGTACATATGGGACACACACACTTAGTTTAGTCGTAGATTTATAGCGATGACCCTTGCTGGGCTGACAATACAAATGACCAATTACGCCATGCATTGGGAAGGAAATAACAAAGACAGTTGACCGTTATATATCCATACGATACTTAGAATACTATAGGGAACAGCGGATGTAGTTAAGAGAGAGTATGTATCATACATACATTATATAGTAATGTGATTATTTGTGTTGTCTTTTATGTTAGCTAAGTAGCTTATAATTGTCATTTATATTTACGTTGATTCATTTTGCGTTAATTGTTGATAGCCATTTACAGAACGTTAAAAATATATAATTAAACCCGTGGTCGTTTTCCTGCGATTAATTTATCTCTGACTTTTATTACATATCATTGCCTATCAATAAACTAGTGTCATAATCGCTCTCTCTGGAGAATATATATTATACTAGTAATTTCAAATTGAAAACCATTCGAAATCATACAAGTAGACATGCATAACACATAGTATTCGTGTGTATGCGAGAGTTCATGCGTGCGCGTGTACATGTATATATGTGTGTGTGTGTTTATCAGCAAGCTACCATAAGTATTGTTTGCTATACTCATCGTGTTACCATCATCAACATCCATTTAAAACACTCCTACATACTCTTAAATTTGAATTTAGTATTTGTGTACATTTCTTGCTATTAACTTTTTGTAAGATTAATTGGAGTCATGTTTAACGTGTTCTACACAAGGACACATTTCTCCACGTTATATTGTGTTTGTTTTAAAACTAATTATCTACATTTTCAAAAGTTAAATTTTGCTAGAATGTATCATTATGTTTCAAATTTCTAACATTAAATTATTTATGTCATTTTATATCAAGTACCTTCTTACTTAACTATCTTTAGTCCTTGAGTATCCTAGTGCCTCAACTATAATTTCCCTTTTTGTCCGGTTCTCTGCTGTTGAGTTTGTAACCTCCTAATACATCCCTGCTTTCTTTAATTCTTTAAAACACATACGTTTTACAACATGTACGAGTATTGTAATGGGTCGTCGTGGCCGACGATAGTGAACACGACTGGTAACTTAAAGGATTCATTTTTTTATGTTGGCTTTAAGGAATTGTTTACATATTGAGCTATGCAACTTAAAGCATTGGGAATCGAGATGTGATAAAGATTTTTTTTTTCAGGTGAACTCATCAAATGAATTCAAAACTAAGGCTTCGCTTGTTAATAAGTCAAGTCCATAGCAACGACATTCTTTTAAAAGACGACACAATGTGTAAAACAACTTTGTACGAAATAAAAATATATGTTCTTTGATAATGAAGAAACTGAATTAAGGTGATACTAACGCAACATAACAAAGTGCGCAATAAAAAGTACAAAAATTGTGCTTACGACGTCTAACATGAAATTAATACAAATGCCAAGACAAGCTATGCAAATACATTTCTTTTTTCCTAAAATTAAAAGTCTATCTTTTGATGAACTATGTTGCCAAATTAAATGAATTAATAAGGATCTGTTTGCTGCTAAAAGTATGGTAAACCACAGGAACGTTTGATATCGGCTAAGAGATTTGAAACTAATCTAATAACATTTAGGAAACAATGCTAAAACAAATATTTTATTTAAGAAAATCAAACTCAAAGAGGATGAATTAATGATTGTATTTCGAAATACAAACACGTCGAAATTTTAATAAAGTGTAATAATAAATTCAGCCTATAAAAATACAACAATAAAAGATCGACAAAGAGCTGGTGCTAATATGAAACTGCATTATTAATAATAGCAATTAGTAAGTAATCATGCTTAGCTCAATGCTTAGGTATCAATAAATAGTTCTAAAGAAAAAACTCAGTGTTATGGTGTTTCAACGGCTATTTGGAAAATTATAATACTCTCTTGCATCATAAACTGAAGATAAAAAAAGACCAGCTTGCTTATAGAAGCATTCGGCACGGTCCATCACTGTTTTTAAAATTCTTTCAACGCATTATGATAATGATACAATTATAGGATAGCTTATTCAAAAAGGAGTGAATGTTAATATTATGATTAGAGGTGAATTAAACACTTCAACTATGGCATCAAGTGTTGGACATGATACTAATAATGCAGATTTGCTTATCACCAGCAAAACCGATATTAATCGTGCAGATGAAGATGAAGGTAAAGCGTTTCTGCTTGCTTCAAAAAATGGAGATGATAAAATAGTGGAGTTACTTATCAGCGGTGGAGCTGATATTAATCATGTAAATAACGAAGGATGGGATGCTTTAATGATTGCATCACGTAATTCACACGACAAAGTAGTAAAGCTACTTATCACTAGCGGAGCTGATATTAAACGCGTGGATACAGATGGGCAGGATGCTTTAATGCGTGCATCAAACAAAGGACATGAAAAAGTAGTAGAGTTGCTTATCAACAGCGGTGCTGATTTTAAAAGAGTGGATAAAGATGGGCAGGATGCTTTAATGCGTGCATCAAAAAAAGGACATGAAAAAGTAGTAGAGTTGCTTATCAACAGCGGGGCTAATTTTAAAAGAGTGGATAATGATGGATGGGATGCTTTAATGTATGCATCAGACAAAGGACATGAAAAAGTAGTAAAGTTGCTTATCAACAGCGGGGCTAATTTTAAAAGAGTGGATACATATGGGCAGGATGCTTTAATGCGTGCATCAAACAAAGGACATGAAAAAGTAGTAGAGTTGCTTATCAACAGCGGGGCTAATTTTAAAAGAGTGGATAATGATGGATGGGATGCTTTAATGTATGCATCAGACAAAGGACATGAAAAAGTAGTAAAGTTGCTTATCAACAGCGGGGCTAATTTTAAAAGAGTGGATACATATGGGCGGGATGCTTTAATGCGTGCATCACAAAAAGGACATGAAAAAGTAGTAGAGTTGCTTATCAACAGCGGTGCTGATTTTAAAAGAGTGGATATAGGTGGGCAGGATGCTTTAATGCTTGCTTCACAATCTGGACATGACAAAATAATAGAGTTACTTGTGAACGGCGGAGCTGATATTAATCGTGTGGATAAGTATGGATGGGATGCTTTAATTCTTGCTTTACAGATGAGACATGACAAAATAGTAGAGTTACTTTTCACCGCCGGAGTTGAGATAAATCATGTAACCAATAGGGGATCGGATGCTTTAATGATTGCATCAAGAAATGGAAATGACAAATTAGTAGAGTTACTTATCAACGGCGGAGCTGATTTTAAAAAAGTGGATATAGATGGACAGGATGCTTTAATGCTTGCTTCACAATATGGACATGACAAACTAGTAGAGTTACTTATAACCGCCGGGGCTGATATTCAACGAGTTAAATCAGATGGACAGGATGCTTTAATGATTGCATCAAAAAAAGGACATGAAAAAGTAGTAGAGTTGCTTATCAACAGCGGAGCTCATATTAATCGTGTGGATACAGATGGAAGGGATGCTTTAATGCGCGCATCAAAAAAAGGACATGAAAAAGTAGTAGAGTTGCTTATCAACAGCGGTGCTGATTTTAAAAGAGTGAATAGAGATGGACGGGATGCTTTAATGATTGCATCAAACAATGGACATGAAAAAGTAGTAGAGTTACTTATCAACAGCGGAGCTGATATTAATCGTGTGGATAAAGGTGGATGGGATTCTTTAATGCTCGCTTTACGGATGAGACATGACAAAGTAGTAGAGTTACTTTTCACCGCCGGAGTTGAGATAAATCATGTAACCAATAGGGGATCGGATGCTTTAATGATTGCTTTAAGAAATGGAAATGACAAAATAGTTGAGTTACTTATCAACGGCGGAGCTGATATTAAACGTGTGGATAAAGATGGATGGAATGCTTTAATGATTGCATCAAGAAATGGAAATGACAAAATATTAGAGTTACTTATCAACGGCGGAGCTCATATTAATCGTGTGGATACAGATGGACGGGATGCTCTAATGCGCGCATCAAAAAAAGGACAAGAAAAAGTAGTAGAGTTGCTTATCAACAGCGGTGCTGATTTTAAAAGAGTGGATATATATGGGCAGGATGCTTTAATGCTTGCTTCAATAAAAGGACATGAAAAAGTAGTAGAGTTGCTTATCAACAGCGGTGCTGATTTTAAAAGAGTGGATACAGATGGACGGGATGCTTTAATGCGCGCATCAAAAAAAGGACATGAAAAAGTAGTAAAGTTGCTTATCAACAGCGGTGCTGATTTTAAAAGAGTGGATACAGATGGACGGGATGCTTTAATGCTTGCTTCAATAAAAGGTCATGATAACGTTTTACCATTATTGCTAAAAGAAGTTCTTCTAATGCAAGAAAATGAAAAATCAAGCGATTTAAGTCCAATACCATTTAATAGAAATAATATTATCGCAATTTATTTATTAGATATATTATTTCAAGCTTTTGAAAACGAACTCTATAATACAATGGAACAAATTTCTATTTTTGTCAACGAAAATTGTAGTGCACTGAATTTTAAATTCCAGTTAAAACGTTTTTGTGAATTAATTTTACAAGGTAAGCAGTACATTTAACATATTTTTAAAACGTGTGTTTGTTATCAATAAGAGAAGCGCGACACGCATTTACTTCTCATGTGATCAAACATATTCCTTTATATATATACGAGCCGGCCCGCGGCATAACATACGCCGCTATTTAGTTGTTTCTAATTTTCAATAATTCATAATTTGTGAATTCGACAGCACCAACGCTGACACTGAAAATATTTCTTTAAAACACTATAAGTAGCTCGTTAAGGACCATAACCCCCCCCCTTCCTTCCCTCCCCCCCCTCCTTCCCCCCCCTACGTTTAAAATCGTTGGCTCTGCTTGTAAACATTTAGAGTGAACACAGCTCACTAAAACCATGTAGGGGTGGGGAGGTAGGGAGAGCGTTTGCAGCTTGTTTTCTAACGGCTCGAAGAAGAGAATTATATATATATATATATATATATATATATATATATATATATATATATATATATATATATATATATATATATATATATATATATATATATATATATATATATATATATATATATATATTTAATATATATATATATATATATATAATTGTCTTGCAATCCTTTAAATAAAGTGCATTTCAACTGAATCTATCAGTTAAGTATTTAAAGAGATAGTGTCTTTAGCACTATGCCTAGTTGCGATGAATTTCCCTATTGTGTGTTAGGTATCACTTCACTTGCCCCAAAGAACGTCAGTTATTTAAATGAACTTTACTTTTACTCTACTACATAGACATTGAAACCCTCAGTCAACCACCCACATACATTACACGCATACACAATGTAGACCAAATTGCATACGAACATGCTCAGCACCTTAAAGTTTTCGGTTATGTCTATATGAGAATGTAACAGTTTGATGCAAATCTGTAAACAATACCGTATTATTGAATCAAATGTATAATCTCTATAGTGTTTAATGCATTTAGGTTTCTCTTAACCCGGATATTTAAAGATATATCGCCATGTACATCACTGTTGATGGTCTGTGGTTTGGTTTGGGGGTTATGGTACCGTGTGTGTTGGTGTGCTTTCTCTAAAACTTCCCCGTGAGCCGCGACATGCGGCTTGGGCCAGCTTCACCGTAGGTCCGCGAGCCGCAAGGTACGGCTCGACACCGATAGTGTTTGTTTCTTTAACAAGTCATTTAACATGTAAAAAAACCTACATTCTTTAACATAACTCACAATTATCTTCATTTACTACTATTGAAATTTCATTTCTGTTCATTTTGATGTTTAATACATAAATCTGGTTAGAAAAACATAGGAGCTATAATTGTTTAAGTAGGTGAGGGCTGTATAAAAAAAATTGGGTCACGGAAATAATGAGGTCAGGAGGTGGAAACGCCTCTGGTATAAAAAGAGTTAATTTCTACTATTGAGAAATAAATGTTTATTTCACAAGAATTTCAAACGTGTAGCTGTTTTATATAAAGTACGATTATCTTCTATCATTTAATACTTTTATTCCGGATCATCATACCGTAGCGAAGCACGGGTAAGAGCTAGTGGATATATGAGGTAGAGTAGCGGGACCATGGAGAATTGGGACTCTTCTTAATTTCGGAATCTGTGCAGCAAAATGTTGATGTATCCGCAATAACATGAAACTAAAGACACATCTCTTTTAATAACTTATTTCCAACTTCAGCTAATTGTTAGTTTGATCTGTATAGAGAAGTGCCTAAACATTTTTTTGTATCTTCACAATCCTTTAAACACGGTGAACATTTATGTTATCTTTCCTATCTTTTTATTAGAGTACGTTCTTTAATTATGTAATTGCATTATTCGTGTACGTTTAGTGCTTATTAACAACTAAGATTTATAACAAATACTATGCCACAAACTAGCTTTGGTAAGAAGTGAGACAAGATGTACATTACACACTCAAGCCCTTTAGTATATCATATTAAGTTGTTACTTTAATGAAATAATTTCATTTTTACAGTCAAATATTTATCCTACATTGTATTTATTGAAACTACAAACCCCTTATTGTTTTTAAAAAAATGACATGACTGTCCCAGTTCTTCTTTTGCATGTCCCACTTCTCAATGTCATGATGACTTATACATTTTGTGTCATAAACGTGTACGTATACTATCTGGAGTGTTAACGGCGATGTCCAAACTTAAACGATTGCATATATAAATTATTGGACAAGGTTAGGATCATTTTAGACAGATACAAGAGAAAATACTATTGTTTATAACGATTTGCTTATCATCAAGCTAACAGTATAGTTTGGTATTTAAATGTGGAGATTATAATTTCAAAATGTAAATGTGTATTCTGAATAGAAATATATTAATAAGTCATATGTCGTATCAAATACCTAGCATTAAAACAAGATCTACAAAATGACACCAAAACACAACTGAGCGACTCAACAGTCGGTGAACTATACAATATAGAATTCAAGAATTTTAAGAAGTAAGTAATGTGTATTGTTTAAAGTAAGATGTCTGGACATTTTCAATTGTAAAGCTACATTTAAATTATAATTTACTATTAAATAAAGTCTCAAAAATTAAATATGCAAAATACTTTAAATTAAAAATTAAATACATCGCCTACATAAATTTTACTACACTTTAAAGACAGAATTAAAAATATGCATATTTTCTCACAAATAAGGTACAGACAGACAAACAAACCTTTAATCCTACTGTCAATTGGGTCTACTATAAATGTATCAATTCACAAATACCACGAGATCAACCCGTTCATCCTGACAAGCAACCGTATTCAATCTGGGAACAGGACATTTTCCTTAACAATATCACTATATCACCATCTGATCATAAACTTATTATCTATTGTCCAACAAAAAGATCAAGCTTGATTTTACTCCACTGTCGACATCAAATTTAAGCCAATCTCGAGAAGGATCATGATCAATATTACCTTCATGATCAGGGTCGTAATGACATTATACCACTACATCCCTCTTTTCACATAATGCCAATCAAGTACCTAAATAGTTTTTCAGCATATCGATTTAAAAAAAAGAAACAAACACAGAAACATATAAGTAGTCAGTTTAATCATATTGCATTTACTATGTCTATATATATTGTTTTATAAAACAGGTCCATCGATTGTTATGTAAAGATTGTTGTTCTCACTCACAATGAACAGGTATGTAGTTTTTATTCTATATATATAACTCATGAACACAAAATACATGTTAAAAATCGATTTAAAAAATAAAAACAACCGACAGAAATTACATGCTCTATTATGGCACCATAAATAGTGGATTTGTTGTTAGGTTCATGTGTGTCAATGAGCTATTTGACAACTGGTTTGTTGTATGGGAAATTTTAAATTGAGAATTAGATATCAGTTATACTGATATTCAGATTGCGTGTCTGGATTCAGAGTGAAAATATGTTTTGCCTTTAAGGCAAGTCGGGTCTTGGCTAGTCTCTCTAAGACTTTGATAAATACATTTTTCTACTCAAAACTAATTAATTATGCGTCGTTTTAAATAATCTACATATTATTATTTTCTGTTCTTAAGGATAGACAGCAAGGATTAAAAAAAATAACACAAAAATAATATATAGCCGATAATAACAGTACTGGTTGCCATGGAAACCGCGAAAAGGTGTGAAAAATAACACCTTTTAAAAACTTAAAACCTCTAATGACTTTGTTTTCGTAGAAGATTTTTAAAAGATGATAAAAGATTTAGATTTCTAAATCAAAGCTATACATGTCTCTGTATATTTATTGCGATAGCTCGTACTCAATTTCTAATACAAATTTTTACGTACATTTATGTACAAAAATTAGTGGGTGGTGCTACATAAATATCAATATTGTCTAAAGTATTGTAGTGAAAGTAATGTAAAAACTTTGTTTTGTAGAAGGTATGATGCTAAATGGAATGTTTCAGTCTTGTATAAAAAAGGATTCCAAAGCCTTAGCGATTTGAATGTTTTATTTTTAGTAAACATGCAAAGTTGAGAAAAGAAGTGCGTTAAAAACTAAAAGACACTGTGCGTTTCCTTTTTTGGATCACAGAGAAAATAGCCGCTGTCGGCGTAGTAGTGTAAACATTTGCCGCGGTGTACCCTGTTTCACATCCAAATAAAAGGATATCCGTGGGCTGTAGAAGTTCGGAATGCTCGGGTTAGATGGATAAAATGTATTAGTACTGAACTAAAAAAAAACTTTGATGAGCAAAATTGTTTTTAGTCGAAAACATGTATATTTTGTATCCTTAAAAAGCCGCGAAAGGACAAGTTTCTAAATTTCTAATTTTTTTTCAATTCTACCCTGGGTGGTAGAATAACATTAAAACAGAGTTACCATTGTAATACAGACTTTAAGTATAATATAGACTTGGAGAACACTGTAGTACAACCCATGTTATATTCTGTGTAGGTCTAATATTACATTAACTATTATATTTTATGTATTTCTAGTCCATATTGCCTTCTGAACGGCAACTAAATCTAATTTAGGATATTGACAGTAAAGTGCCAATCATGTTTGTCATATTACTCATTTTATATTTCTCATTTGATTTCACTTTATGATACATTATAATAGTCATTTATATTGTGATGTTACAATGTTCACAAATGTTTGTAAAACTATTTTTTCAAAGCAGCGTCTAACAAATTGACTTAAGTTAAATACGCAACCAAAACATAAAAGTAACCCACAAATTTAAACTCTCTCTCTCTCTATCTCTCTCTCTCTCTCTCTCTCTCTCTCTCTCTCTCTCTCTCTCTATATATATATATATATATATATATATATATATATATATATATATATATATATATATATATATATATACGAAAACCGGCTCAGAAGTTTGACTGCCATTAGCCAGGCAGGTCGCAGTGTAGCAAACTCCGACACATGGTGGTAGTAGCAAGTCGTTTATTGTCGGTGTAATTGCTACACGTCGGTCGCTTCTCCGTCGGCTCTTACCGGGCTTTCCTCCCCCCCCCCCCCCCCCACTAGACGCGGAAGTCCTACCGCCTGGTACCCAGCTTGATCGTGGGGGGCGTTCGGCTCCAGGAATAGATGATATACCGGCAGAAGCACTGACAGCAGATATAGAAACTAGCACCACACTGCTACACACAGTCTTCAAGAAAATCTGGGAAGATGAACAAATACCAGAGGAGTGGAAGGAAGGACTACTCATAAAGCTTCCAAAGAAAGGCGATTTAGCGCATGCTCTAGCTAAAGAGGGATAACACTTTTGTCCATCCCAGGCAAAGTCTTCAACAGAATATTATTAAACAGAATGAAGGTAGCGATAGACCCCCAGCTTCGAGATCAACAGGCGGGCTTAAGGAAGGAAAGGTCATGCATAGACCAAATTGCTACCCTGCGCATCATCATTGAACAGACCCAAGAGTGGAACTCATCTCTCTATACTAATTTCATAGACTACGAGAAGGCCTTAGATAGCCTGGATAGGCAGTCAATGTGGAAATTGTTGAGACACTACGGGGTGCCACAGAAAATAGTCAACATTATTATGTCTTCATATGAACGTCTCAAGTGTAGAGTAGTGCATGGCTAACAGACTATAGAGGCCTTCCCAGTACGGACTGGAGTAAGGCAGGGTTGCCTACTTTCACTATTCCTGTTCCTGCTGGCCATAGACTGGATTATGAAGATGTTAACAGAGAAATCGCGGAACGGTATACAGTGGACACTGTGGAGCCAGCTGGATGACCTGGACTTTGCTGACGACCTGGCCCTCCTTTCTCACACACAACAGCAAATGCAGGATAAAACCAACAGTGTTGCTAATTTTTCTACATGCATGGGCCTGAACATCCACAGAGGGAAAAGTAAAGTTCTCAAAGTCAATGCATCAAAAGTGGATGGATTCACCTACCTTGAAAGTATTGTTGATAAGCAGGGTGGGACACAAGCAGACATACAAATAAGGACGGGTATAGCAAGAGCAGTCTTCAACCAACTAAAAAACGTTTGGGGTTCGGGAGATTTAACACTTGGAATAAAAATCCGGATCTTCAACACACTAGTAAAACATGTTTTACTCTATGGAGCCGAGACATGGAGAATAACTGCTATAAATAAGAAGAAAATACAATCATTTATAAACGTATGCCTTAGAAAGATCCTGCGAATTCGCTGGCCTAAAACCATCAGAAATGATGTTCTATGGCAACGGAAAAATCAACTGCCAGTTGAAGTAGAGATCCTCCAGAGAAAATGGAAATGGATTGACCACACACTCAGGAAGCCTGTATCCAGCATAACAAGACAGGCCCTCACCTGGAATTCACAGGGCAGGAGGAAGAGGGGCAGATCAAGAAAGACCTGGAGACGTGACATGGAAGAAGACACCAAGAAGATTGGATACACCTGGGCACAGTTGAAGAGACTAGCCCTGGACAGAAACGTCTGGAAAGCTCTTGTCAGCGGCCTATGTCCCAGCAGGGACGCCAAGCAAACACGACATGATACCCCTGTCAATTCTTTCCACCTAAGTATTTGCCCCTTCCAACAATAACCATGACGTATTACCCCGTATCTGTTATTTCCCTGTTATTCCCCCCGTCAATGTGTTTGTGGGTTCGTTATAGAAATGTAACAGTATATTTTCTAGCTTAACTTGTCATTTTATTTACAACAAATATAGTCCATTCAGGTTGAAACAATGAATAAGATCTTAATAGTTGAAATAGTTCAGTACATTGAACTACTTGAATAACACAGGACGCCAACAAAGTACATGGGTAATCCACAAACGAAATGATATAGTAACAGCTTAAATTTATTATCGAGGCACACCGCTCAAACCGTACGTACCCCTTTATATCAACGTCAGTGAGCGAGATCACCCGAAATCATAGAATACCATAATTGATCTCACACAATTATTCTGTTGGTCAGGTATTCTCCTGAAATTTTAAAGAGTCGGATTTTATTCCCTCAGTGTTTAAGGTTCATAATTACTGTAGACCGATATATTGTGTGTGTGTGTTGTATCTAGTTTGTGGTTGTTGTTCTGGTTCTCGTCCTGTAAATAGTTCAATGTAACTTTTTTAACATTTTGTAGTTTTGACTTTAAGCTTTCGATTCATGTTCTTAAATTTTTATTAAAAGTGTCTGCTTTAATATTTTAAACATTACCTGTCATGAATCAAGGTTCATAATGGTCATTTGAAGATTATGTCATACAGTAGCCGCGTGGCATTCGTTGTTCTTCATGATGAATCTCGGCCGCTTAAGCCGCCCCTTCATTATCATTGAATCAATGATGTATTTTACCTGTGTCTCATTGTTGTTTAATTAGAATGTGATTATTATTCCCAGTCTAGGCGGTCTTAATGTTTGATTTGGTCTCTTGTTCAGATCGTATTGCACCCTATATGGAAGTGTTATTTACACCCGCGTCAAGTTAACTTTGCATATATATATAT